AAAGAGTCTCAGACACAGCTATATTTCGTGTGAGACCTTGGAAGAGAAAACACTGCTCCTTCCTTCTGTGCTTCTCCCCGAAAGCTGAAGGACACAGTACCAAGCTCCCACACTCCAAGAAAGTCTGAAAATGCCAGCACTTGCCTGGCTGTGTCCGGCACGCTCGGACTGGCCGATCGGGAGGTGGCTCCACCTCTACCTTCTTCCCAGGATCAAAGTCATCAGCCTCTCCCTCCGTGTCGCAGTGTTCCTTTTCCCGTTTCCGCTTCTTCTCTTCCTGTGAGGCAAAGTCAAGGCCACCAGAGCAATGCAAACAGTTTTAAACGAACTGTTTCTAGGGGGAAACACAAAGCTAAGAGAGGAACACCCTCTTCCAGAGACTCTTCTCATCCAGGCTCCCACCCTTGCAAAGACCCTCCCCAGGGGTCAACGGAGAGGCGATGCTCAAAGAGCCAGAAATGAAGCAACTACCTTTGCGGTCTGTTTTGCTTCCAACAAATCACCCCCTTTCCTAAGCCCTGGAGCACTCATTCTGTATGCCCCACCCCGGGGGCTTGGGGGCCGCCACCCTCCACCCTCCGTCACCTTCCGTTTCCTTCTTTCGTCATCGTCCAGGTATTTCTCCTTCTCTGCCTTTTTCTTCTTTTTCTTCTTCTTTTCTTTGTGCCTCTCTCGCTCATGGTCTGACCTGTCATCGTAGTAACTGGAATCGTGGCCGGATCCCGAGAGTTCAGTCACTTCACTTCCTCCAACCTTGAGAACCAGCTTCAGGGGCTTCTCCAAGGGTTTGTCTGCATACTCTGCAGAGACAGAGACGGGCCCTCACGGCGTGTGCTTAGAGAAAACACCTGGGGGGGGGGGCGGTCGGTGGGCCCAATGGGTGGCTGTTACAGTGAGGGATCGAGGAGGAGGAGGACCGGCCCTACTCAGGCAGAGCAGGAGAACGCTAAACGGCGGGGCACCGCTGAGAGCGGCTGGGTGTTACTTCCCCTTTCCTCTTCCTAGCTTTCCCGTTACACTGCATTATCCTCAGGGAGCCAGAGAGAGGGGGACGCCACAAGGCCAGGACCTGGGACCCCGCCGCTCGATCCCGCCTCCCCCAGCCCCGGGCCACCCCGTTGTCAGCTGACGCCAACGAACTGCTGCAGGGCCGGGCGGGGAAAGGCGGGAGGACGGAGCAGTAAGAGCTTCTCCCGGAGACCCGGACACCAGACAGCTGACATGCTCGGCTCCTCTCCAGGACTTGCGAGGTGGAGCCCCCGGCGGCCCTGGCTCTGTGCCCGCCTCACCCCTGGAGGTCGTGGGGCCGCGCCGGAAGTAGACCCGAGGCCGGAACTGGTCCCGCCCACTCGCGGGCCCGAGTGCTTCCGGGTCAGGGGAGGGCGAGCTGAGCGCGGCAGATTTGAAGTACGGGCAGGGCAGACGGTCCTTTTGGCAGCTGTGGAGGAGGAGGTGGAAGTGGACGTGGTGGTGGCGCCGGGCGTCAGGCGACGGCCACGATCGGGCCTGGTACCCGCTGCTCCCGGCAGCGGCGGCGGTGCTATGG